TCAGCTCCCTCCATACATTTTCTATAGGATTAAGGTCTGGAGGCTGTCTCCATGACCTTAATATGCTTCTTCTCTAGCCACTGCTTTGTTGCCTTGGCGGTATGTTTTGGGTCATTGTCATGCTGAAAGACCCATCCACGGACCCATCTTCAGTGTTCTGGCTGAGGTGAAGGAGGTTCTCATCCAAGATTTTACAATACATGGCCCCGTAATGCGGCAAGTTCGGCCTGTACCTTTAGCAGAGAAACAGCCCCAAAGCATAACGTTTCCACCTCCGTGCTCAACTGCAGGGATGGTGTTCTTAGGGTCATAGTCAGCATTTTTCTTCCTCCAAACACGGCGAGTCGAGTTAATGCCAAAAAGCTAAATTTTGGTCTTATCTGACCACAGCACTTTCTCCCAATTGTATTGTTACCAATGGTTTGTTTGGTGACTGTGGTTCCAACTGCCTTGAAATCATTCACAAGCTCCTCCTCCGTGTAGTTCTGGGCTGATCCCTCACTTTACTCATGATCATCCTTACCCCATGAGGTGAAATCTTGCATAGAGCTTCAGACCGAAAGCGATTGATGGTTATTTTGTATTCCTTCCATTTGCGAATAATTGCTCCAACAGTTGTTTCCTTCTTGCCGATAGTCTTGTAGCCCATTCCAGCCTTGTACAGGTCTACAATCTTGTCCCTAAGGTCCGTTGACAGCTCTTTGGTCTTGCCGATGGTGGTGAGGTTTGAATGGAAGAGATTCTGTGGACAGGTGCCTTTTATATACATAAGTTCTCACTCGGAGCACCTTCTTAAATTGACAGGACTAATCTGTGTACCACAGTCTGTGGGAGGAGCCAGAATTATTGTTAGTTGGTAGGGGATCAAATACTTAATTTATAACATTTCTTTGTAAGTGGGCAGGGGATCAAATCCTTATTTTCCTCACTGTATATGCATCTGTATGGAGAGGAAAAAATAGATCTCAATGACCAGTAAACTGATAGAGAATTTCTGGAACTCCATCCACAGATACAAGCCTCATAATGTATTCTTAGGGATTTGGAGGTTTTTCATATTCATTATCTAATTTACCCTGGCAAAGCTCTAGTTCATCATACGCAGGAACGGTCACTTTGCCCTAAATGAGCCAAGTGACACTTTGTTTAAGATGCATTCCTGAAGAAGGGCTTTGTAAGAAAATCAGGGAAGTGTATCAGTAAAAGTAAAACACAATATTCAATAAAACAAGCAGATGCAACAAGTACTGACTGGAGAAGGCAATTTATGTTTGGATGTGCTGTTTGGCAAGTAAAACCAGTTCCATGTCAGATTTTGGCTTGCCAAGTTCTATTCCAGGCACAAATGTGTGTTTTCGGACCACAAGCAAATGGTAAAATGCTATTTAAAAAAGGTAACCAAACAAAACTTCAGCTAAAACAAACCATTACCTAATAAATGTGGTCTTTCTGGAGCTCGCTCTAAAAATGCCATAAGGGGATTTAGTCTAATCATATATGTACATTTATTTAGTGATTGTATATGCCATGCATGTTCAAGGTATTATGTAAAGGCATAGGCTAGGTTTTCCATTACTGATATATACCTAGCAGCCATCACATTATGACCATCTGCCTAATATTGAATAGGTCATCCTTAGGCCACCAAAACAGCTGACCCAACGAGGCATGGACTTGTTTTTTCCAGCACATTCCGCAGATGCTCTATTGGATTGAGATCTGGGGAATTATGAGGCCAAGACAAACCTCAAATTGTGTTCTCAAGCCATTCTTGCAGTGGCAGGGTGTCATTTTTATTCTGCTTCCAACACATCAACTTCAGGGAAAAAGTGTCCACTTGCTGCCTAATATATCCCACCAACTTCCACGTTATTCACTTCACCTCTCAGTGGTCATAACGTTATGGCTGATTGGTGTCTACAGCAATGGAGGGCAGCCCTGTCCTGCACTATTTTATGTAACTGGTCTCAAAATTAGACAGCTGGGTAACTGTGCAAATATAGTGAAGACCAGGAAAGGAAAGCTACAGCAAATATTGGTACAAGGTTTACACTTTTTTCTGTTAGTACACAAATGGGATTTAAAACACAGACCTGGAAAGATAAATGCTGAAATAGTTATGCAAGCAGCAGAAGGAAAAACACCTTAAAAAAAATCCATCAGCCCTACCTACGCAAGTGGGAGACGGACTTTCGCTGCACTCTTACTCCTGAGGAAAGATCTAAAGTTCTGGCATTGGTCACTACCTCCTCCATAGACGTCCCCACGCTGGAAACTAACTATAAGTTATTATCAAGGTGGTACTTTGTACCCACCAGAATGCACGCGAACAGTCTAGGCGTGCATCATAGATGGACCCTATTGACCACCGGCATGATGCTGAGGCCTGATATGCAAATATGAAAACATGTGTAGTCAGCAGCGCCAATGATTACACACTACTGACATTCTCATCAAGAAGTCCATGCGGAGATTGACCCAAGGTCATTTTGCACATGCGCCACCTGCATATGAATGGCTCATGTAGGGCGATATGTAAACATCAACATGGTGTAATCAGCGGTACCACTGGCTACACATTGTTGACATTTACATATCGGTCCTGAGCAGCAGCAACAGGCAATAGGGTCACTGTACACTGAATGCACAAATGTTTACATGCGTACAGTGTAAAAAAAAAAAAAAAAAAATATAGGCAAATGCAGGGCTGTGAATGCTGATTTTTCTAGTTTTGGTTTACAGAACTAAATGCTAGGAACTAAAACCGGCAGTGTTAATGGGCTGCACGCAGAATATTGGATGCCCTGGAACCTTTTTTTCCCCCCTCTTCTGTTCCCCTTCTATCATTATTCAGGAAAGACTATGTCCAGTTGGCGTTTGCTCCAATGCTAATAGCACAGTGCCAGAATCAGAAAAACAATTAAGGCAATGACAAAGATCAAGGCATATTTTGTTAACAAAAATGAAAGCGCTTCCAGAGTTAGCTTGTGTTAAATCCCTTGGGAATGCAGGATCACATACACAGGAAGTACCAGGAACAGGTAGCAACTCAGGGTAATCTGTTAAAGGATGTTATGCACATGATGCAGAACATGTAATCCGAGCGTGAAGGGCACCTGTCCTTTAACTTGCAAAACAGAGTATAGCCATAGCATGCAGGCACATTCCTGCCATCATTGCTTGTGTCCCTCCTTACTTGAGCCCTAGAACCCAGGGTGCTGTAATCTGAAAACAATAGGAATTTCTGTAGTGTCAATGATCAGCCCACTACCTTTCCAGTGCCAAGTAAGGAGGACCATCATAATGATCTATATGAGGCAGCAATATCACTTTTGTTCTCCTCAACCCATGATTAAGGTTGGTTCGATAACTACACTGCAATAATTCTGCTAATACAACCGTTTACTGCTGTATATGGGTACCTTTACATTGCACCATCATATCTAAAAGAAATATGGAAAAACAAAACAAAAAAAAAAGAAGTTAATTAGGGGACACAATGAACAACTAAGTATATGCTCAACCACCTGGATGTTGGACACCAAGAGACAGAAGGCTTCCCATCCCACTGGAAAGGGCTTTAGCTACAACTAGCATTTAAAGGTGACCATAGAACCCTAAACCTTTAACAAAGGCCCTAACCCTTTAACAAAGGCCGGACCTATGTCCCCCCCCAATAAACTACTGAAGGGTTTTACACTATGTACATTTAAAAAAAAAAAGAAAAAAAAATTCTTAGCAACAAAGAGCACTGAGATGTTCAAAAGCAGTCCTAAACAAGGTGAATAGAGTATATCACACATCATGGGCAACTTGTGGTAGCGTTGGGTCTGAGTATTTACAGACCTGTTGGCCAAAGGAAGCCTCAGCTGATAGAACTTTGTGAAACTGTGAGCTAAGGACTAGGCGGCAGCTCTGCACAGCTGAGAGGCAGAAGCAAGATGTCGAGCAGCCCAAGGTGTTCCTTTTACATTAGTAGAATGAGCAGTGGCAGGAAAGACGTTGCCAACCATTAACCAAATACGCCTGAGAGATTGTCAGGGGAATCCACAATGCAGTAATCTCATCACAGGCAAAGAGTCAACACTCTCCGCCAATGTGAAAGATCGGCATACAGAGGGCAGAAGGCATACAGAAGGCAGAATGGTATCCTCATTAATGTGGGATAAAGACACCCCTGTGGGAAGAAGGAATGGTTAAAAGGACCATCTTCTCCTTGTGAAGCACCAGAAAGGGTAAGAGCTGCCACTTAGGAGACCCTTCTTCACCAAGGCAACACAGGTCCCAGAACAACTGCTGATGTAGAGACTACCTCCCCCAGGTCCAGAGATTGGCAGCTGAGGAAGTCTGTCCACGCCTGGGATTTATACTGCTGACAAGGTTGGAATGTGAAGTTCTGCCCAGGACAGGATGCAATCTACCTCTCTGGGGAGATATCTGGTTTGTTCCAGGTGGTTAAATCTGGATCAGATGACTCTCCAGCATGATTGTCCAACACTGCAGAGTCAGCTAAATTGCTCAATGCTCTAGGATATTGATCTGGAGATGAAACTCCTCCGATTAGTAATTCCCATGCACCAAGGTGCTCTGGACCCCTTCTGACAGGTTAGCATCTGTCATCAGGATCTTCCAAAAGACGGGCAGGAAGGACTTATGATTCCAGACCCGGATGCCTGAGCAGGGGTGCACAATTCCCATTACCCGAAGCCCGGCACATGCCATTTACTGGTTGGGCTACACGAGTGCACAGACAACTGCTAGGTTCAAGAAAACATACATAACATTTTACATTAGAAGACATCTGCATAGTCCCTCACCAAGATTACAAGTCTCTGATTGTGAGGCTAACAAAAGGTTACCATGATGGTAAGGTTGTGCTAACAAAAATCACAAAATATAGGACTCTAATTTAGAGAAATATACTAGGATTCCTGTCTGCATTGGCACCCTCTGCTGGCTTTTATAAGACAGAAATACACAAGTTAATGTAATGCACACCATGGCATTAACAGCACCTTTATTTTATAGAACATCTTTTGTACATTTAAAGCAAAACATAAAACAAAGTCATGCATTAAAAGACATTTCTGAACATCAAACCATGGTGCATGGACCATGCTCAGCAAAGTGCTGCTCAAATTTGTAACAATAGTGAGAATGTCAAGCCCTGTGGAATGGCTAGCGTGGCATAACTGCGGCCTGACAACCCAGGCGCAACCAAACTGCTTGTTAGTCAGGGACAACATATTCTCTCTATCATGTCAAACACATTTCAGTATTGAATGTATAAGCCACCAGAACACTCAAACAGAGCTCCTTGTGCTCATCCACTGCTTCCATTTCAAATGTTTGTCATACAGCGGGTATGCTCTGAACACCCAGCTTCTTGCCCAACAAATCAGTACAGATATGTAGAATTAACAACATTTTAGGTCTTTTGAAACGGCTACACAACAAATTTTTGAATGGACACCAATTACAGGATTTTGACACACCCAAATGCAGAAATGCTACAGGACAAGCAGATACTGCTATACAACAAGAAAATAACAGGTAATGAGTCAAAGCACTTCTAGAACGTTGGTGCATAACACTGCCGGCCACCCCCATCTGCCAGCATTGACAACTCTGCAAGATGATTTACCTCAGTTTTTCCCCCACAGCCCTTCAGTTCAGAGTGGTGAAAAATGATATATGTATATAATTCAATCCTCTTGTCATCTTTATCAGGTTCGGTGTATCATTCTCTACACAACATGTAGGTAAAAAAAAAAAAAACATCTACAGAGAGTGATCTTTTAAAATAAAAATTGCACTGAAGATAAAAATTAAGACATTACGATGGGCATCAAGTGAGGTTTGGGTGTACTTTGGTCCCAGGGCCAATACAAAATCCCACTAAAATAGTGACCAAACATGAAGTTAGGAACAGGTTAACAAAATAAAAGGCATCCGATAGGTTAATATTTTTAGATGTCCATGATGTTAAACAGCAGCCGAAGCATTTTTCATCACAAGATCTTCCAGATGGGAGTGGCTCAATGCCAGGGCATGAGTACATATCACGTGAACAAATATCAAGGCTGCAAACCACACAATCACCATGAAGCAGTACTAGAAGCTGGGGAGACTGTTGATTTCAGTTTAGAAATAGTCTTCAGCCACGCACCCCAATGTGTCTAGAAGTCAAGACAATACTGGACAATGTTCAGATGTCTTCAGTCACTGAAAAAAACGGGCTCTCTCATGTCTGAAGGCTAGGCCGATGGTCTTGAGCCTCCCCTTACAATCCACAAGATCATTCACAACGAAGAAACATACATTCTTCTCATCCATCAGTCACTTGCAAGTTCACACTAGGACGATGGCAAGCAAGCCTTGGGACACTCGCTGCTACATCTGGAGCAGAAATGGTCAATATAGAGACTATACAGCCTTCCTGTGGTATTCAGGGGGTGCAACCTCATAGTCACTGGCACTGAACAATGTGGAGGAATTTTTGGCCAAATACCTAGAAAGTATTAGTGGGAGACAAATAAAAAAAGAGAAGGATTAATAAAAGTGCTTTCTGTAAACAGCATACAGTTCAAAATGTAATAACAAACAGCATGGCTCCAATAATAGACTGAAACTCTCGATAAGTAAATTGTCCTCCGACAGGGAGAAGTTCACCAAAGCCAAAAAGCTTTGAACAGGACACAAAAAAATTGAGTAACTCGAATAATTATGTCAATGTTGAGGGATGGGGAAGAGGGCTAGTTGACCAACAGAAGGTTTTGGGAGAAGGAAAGCCAGAGCTAGTTTATCTCCACTGAAGTCAACATTTGCAAACTGCACTGAATATAGCTGACATTCTGTACCACTCCTCTTTGTAACAGATATACTTAAATGACAGATCTATTGGAGCCTCCACGTCTGTCACGTTGAACTCTACTTTACTACCTTATTACATACTGATGTTCAACAAGTATGCAGGGTGGGAGGTCAGACTTATCAGATTTCATGGATGAATGTTTGTTCAAGGACAATTACTTACTAGATAGGAACAATATCAACATGAGTAATAACGTATATAAAGCAATAGGCTTCAAAGCAAAATCTTGCAAATATAAAATCTCCCAATATCTGTACAGGTGTAGAAACTTAAATACATAGCTGTCAATGTCTTTCCCTCCTAGGTATTACCCATGTGTTGTGGCAATCACAACGTTTATGAAACAGTACAGTCTTCCACTTTTGCAGAATTTAATTTACTAACACCATGCATGTGCTCATAAAGGGTAATTAAAAAATAAATTTGTTTTACTTATGGCAATGGTGTAACCCAGACTAATCCTGCAGCTTAGTTCACAGACAGCAGAGTAGGAAGGTGAAAGCAAACAAAATGGACTGCTACCTACAATTCATGCACTGAACATAGTCATCTACAAAGCTATATAAAACAATGGCAATAAGTCACTCACTTCAGAAAGTCATGCAGATAGTTCAGCAGCAGGGCCAGACTCTTCTCATCCAAAGGAGTATATGATAACATTGCTCCAATACGAACTATATGGACCACAGTAAACAAACATTAGAAGAGTAGGATACTTAAAGATAATACGTACCACCATAATATGCCTCACTTACCAAAAAGGCGTAGCAGGTGTGGAGCACCATAGACTTGGGACATAGGGGCATCAGGGTGATCTGCCAAGATATCCGCATACTGAGGACGCTCAAACTTGTACAGGAGCTGTGTGCCCAGCATAACATTAAAGTATTCCTTAATACCTGCCACAACTTCATTCACTGCATATTCCCTGCAAGAAGATAAAGTCAGAATATCAGCAGGCATAAAAAGGCAATATTTTAAAGCCTACCCTCCGATTGCCAACAGGAAGGTTTACAACAAACCATTCTCAGTGTCATGGTAGTCAAAAACCCTCACTGTAATTATGTTGCCACAACCTAACAGTAATTGCTATACTCTTCATGTAGATCAGTGGACACCTTTGCATATGGAAACATTCTGCAATTACTGCCTAATACACACTATGATCTATAATATTCTCAATTAAACCATTAGGCAGATAAAGAAATAAAATTAGAAGCATGCTTGGCAGAAGTACGTACTTGTTGTCAGTGTTCCCTCTGGATTTCTTGTAGGTAGCATATTCTTCAAGGATAGTTTCCACATTCTTCTTGGCAGGCAGATTAAACAACTACAAGAATTTGAAATGTATAACATATGTAAAACATGTATAATAGGGCAATTTTTGGGATGCTATAAACCTATTACTTACATATACCTGTGAATACGATCAGCTTAGCTCATTTACATATATTGTACAGCAATTATCTTGTGCTATGGTGTCTAATATATTCAAATGTTTATATGGATTGAAACATCCCGTTTTTGCTGAGGATTCCTATGAGTGCTTAGTGCAAAAAACAGAGCTCAGCTTATGAGAATTCTGAGTCCTGTGTCACTACTCACAGAACAGGATTCTAAATCCTGCTCAACTGCTCACAAGACAGGAGAGTAAATCCTTCCCACTGTGTGGTATAAAAGAGAAATGGTAACTTTCCCTCTCAATGTTGGGAGGATTCCACTACTAGGAATGAATGTAGCTGAAAATATAATGCTCCTCCTCCCAGATCATACTCCTTCCAATGCAACAAGTCCCAGCACCTACATTATTCACGCAATAGTGCCCCTCCCCGGATAGACACGTATTATGGTTATCTACATCCCCACCACACAATTTCCCCTTAGCAGTAAATCACAACACTCATCATATCTCTATTCTTTTTTCCCTGGGGCTCGAAGGGGGGGGGGGGGGGGGGTTGCTTCACTTATGTTTTCACCCACACTACATTCCCTGACATTCGCCGCCCCCAATATACACACTACCTCAACTTGCTTCCCCAAATATACACACCTTGCTTACCCTGTGATTCCTGCTGCAAGAATCTACAGATTCTTGCCCCACGAATTTGCAGCCGGACATTAAATCTTCCTGTGAATGAGGCCCAAGCATTTTCCTCTGTACAGAAATAAAATTTGAGGCAACAACCCATCCATGCTTAAAGTTGAACAAACGCATTATATTTATGGTTGCAGGTGGTGGTACTTATGGTAGTATTTACCTGACACGTGGAGCAGAAGTTCCAATGAGCGTTAGTGTTTACATGCACCCACGTTAAGTGTATCGACTTTTTAAAGGCCTCAAGCAGAGCAGATTTTTTTTTTTTTTTTTTTACTTCCTCCTCCTCCTTTCCTTAAAGTAACTTTTATATGGAACATATAGTATCAATAAAGGTTGCTGCCTGAACAGGGTTTCTCCAAGCAAGTTGCATGTGTTGGGCTTTTAGCTTTGAACCCTACATAAAAGGAAAAGACTACACGGATTTAAGGGCTTGTTCACACCATGCCCGGACCAGAAAAGTTTGTCCACACCTGAAATGCATCCCATGTATTTCTATGGTATTTCTGGGCTCTGTTCACACCAGTGCAATCAGTTCCGGTGCACGGAAAAAAAATACTGCATGCACTATTTTTTCTGGTCTGGAATGCACCAAAACACACTGGACTGCACCTCAAAGCCCATTTAAAGCAAAAAAAACTGCACTGAAACACGGCAAAAACACTGCGTTTGCAGATCTGCGCCGGACATGGCGTAAACAAAGCCTAAAACTAGTTTTCCTTATTTTGTTATAAAATCTAATTATCAGTATAGACTGTTTTTAAAATTATATATTTTAAACTTTTGCTACATTTGTTGGGAAATAGTTGGTATTTTAATGTAGTCTCGCTACAATACCTGTTTTTGGCGTGTAATGAGATCCCAGTCATCCACAAGCCAGGGTTTCAGTTCCTCGGGTATCTTTACTTTAACTTCAACTCTATTCATAAAAGTTTCCTCCTAAGAACAAAAAACACATTGCGTGTAAACACAGGTCTTTTAAAGTGTTTACAGAAACATTCATACACAAAGTGACATTTCAGCTAAGAGAACAACATTTTGTAAGCAGCCCAATAACTGGCAATACAAAACATGGCCATAAATGGACCTCAGCTTTCATGCCAGGCAATACCAATCATGTATGACGTGCATCAGGCCGGGGGCTGGCGTCACCTTCTACAGGATGTAGAAGTGACTGAGTGGTGTTATAGCCACCTAACTCTCAAAGTATGAAGCAGACAGCCTGCAGAAGGACAAGAAACAAGCTTCCGGCTGCTACACGTTTCCAGGTCCCTGGTGCCGGCGATATAAGCCTTATGTCAGTGGCAGCAAAAAGGTTAAAAGATTTATATATTGAATAAAAACCATGACAAAGTTGGGCTTTAAGTATCCTATGATGCATGCTGTAATACAGCTTTCCAATAGCATTGTGCTCTGTACTGCGTATGCCAGAGTTATTCCACTCTGTATTCCGTGCTGTATCCTGCACACCCCTAACTGATGCTCTTTGCACATTGTACATTACTTTATATACCCCATGCCCTTCCACCCAATACACTGCTGTATGTTACATACTTGCCACTGCTCCACCCTGGACACCGCGAGGTATGTTATATACTTCACACTGCAACTATATTGTGCTATAGAAAAACTTTATTGCTAACCACAGTAATTATTTGTTTAAAATTTGTACCACAACTATTTTTAGGATTTGTGAACTCCAAAACAAGATCACTTTTATAATACAATTAAAATATGTCACTAGTAAAAACAAAAATCCATACATATGCGTTAACGAATAATTATACATTTTTAAGGTCAAAACCAAAACTGCATGCAAATGTTTAGTAACTTGCATTAAAAGCTTTTATTACTTCAATTGGCATTACCCTTAAATGCCCCTAAATTATTTTTAAGACTTTAGGATTTGTGGGGATTCACAAATGGGGGGAATTCATCAAAACTAGACCAGACAATTTCTGGAGCAGATTTGCACCAATGAGCTTTGTCTCATTTTCAAATATTACCTGAGCAAACTGAAGAGAGATGCTGATTGGTTGCCATGGGCAACTGCTCCAGATGCTGTCTGCTCCAGTTTTGATAAATTCCCCCACTGTTGTATGTATGTATGTATGTATGTATGTATGTATGTATGTATGTATGTATGTATGTATGTATGTATGTATGTATCAGTTTAAAATGACACATGAAAAAAAAGGTACCTACATTCTCTACAGTGGGATCCACTCGCGCCCGTTTCTTTCGTGGTGGCTGAGGAGCATCGCTGGTACTGGTGCCCTCTCCACTCCCAGGGGCTATGTAATAAAAAAAAATTCAAAATGCTATTATGGGAGGGACCATATACAATACATGCATAAACCAATGTAAAAGAAGAAACGCTACCTTTTTGCTTATTTTTCTTGGTTTTCCTGAAACAAAACAAAAAAATATGTTGAACCTTCTGTCAAGAAAATGCAACTAGTCATACCAAAAGCCATTTAACCAAATCAGAACGTTTTTTTTTTCCGCCCCTTGTTCTACCACCTGAGGTAGTTTGAAATGGCTGGAAATGACCACTTGCTCTTTTTCTGTTTTTGGTAATGATGCATAGCACATAAAATAGAAACAAAGCAGCACAAGATATATAGTCACTGTCTATCTGATCAGATTAAATGCCAACATGTTTTACTTACACTTCCACATTCTTCTGCTGAAGTGCAGCTGACTTCTTTCCTGGAGCGGCTGCTCTCATCTTCCCCTCTGCATACTGATCCCTAAAATGAAACGCCATGATAGAACACTCAGCTTGTCTGATCAATGACTATGCATAAAGCCACAGACATGAGATGAAAAAAGGCATCCAATATATTTTTGTACAATCAAGCAACCTTTTCATATTCATGCAAGAAAGTTTAGGTTGACCATTCTGTAGGGGAAATGGTCTTAACATTGTCTAAATGATATGGTGTACCACACTCATTTCCAGGTGTACAGCAAAAACTGTATGCCGGCATGGTCCTCCTGAAACCTGTATGCTTGGCCAAGCCAAACGTAAATGTTTTTGAAGTAGTTTTTGCCTGTTAAGTGGTTGTATCTGCCCATCTCATTCCACCCATCTCCCTCCTCCCCTCTCAGTCGAAAGTCTGTATATGCCCATGTGCAACCCTACCCCCTTGTGTATACCTATGCAACCTTCATCCATGTGCAGAACCAATCTCTTCTACCCAAAAGCTCAAGTAATTTCTTCACTGCAAAATCTGATCACTATGATATACTTACTGATTGGCCTTCTGAAGTTCTTTTTGTTTTTGCAGGTTAGTGTCCACGTATTTGAGTACTCTACTTTCTGGTACCCACTCATCCCAGCTGAACAGGAAAAAAGAAAAACAAAAAATATCAACCAATGCATTAGACCCGCAGAACGTTTTTGTCCACCAAAATAAAAACTCAAGTGATTGAAAAAGGAGAGTGCCTAGTCCTTACTAACCTTGAAGATACGAGTAGCAACTCTTTCACAAAAATATACAATCAAATGTTCAATTCCTCCAAATACACATTAATATTTATATATCCAAAGCAATGGAAGTGACAATAAACTCAGGAGTTAATAGTTAAAAAAGGTATTTGAATTAATTTAAGGTTTAACAAAAGCATCTTATTTGTGTATCACTCGGCTGTAGGTCCTCAAATCATCTCTGAATTGGTGCTGGCACTGTTCTTCCTTCTGGAGGGTGACTACTTTTGTTCCCCATGGTCCCTGTGTGTGTTGTAAAGTAGTCACCGCTCCAAGCTCACTCCTGTGATGGACTTCAATCTCAATACAAAATTAGTAGCTTGGAACGGTGACTACTTTACAACACACACACAGGGATCATGGGGAACAAAAAGTAGCCACCCTACAGAAGGAAGGACAGTGTCAGCACCAATTCAGAGATGATTTGAGGATCTACAGCCGAGTGATACACAGATAAGATACTTGAATGTATTTTTAGGATTTAACTCCCGAGTTTAGTGTCACTTTAATGTCAACTTGAAAAAAAGTAAAAACCTGTGAAGAAACTTAATTTAAATGAAAAGTTCAATATCTCTCGAAACTTTAATACTACTTCTTCAATTACAATTCTCCAATCTTCAAGAACCCGAAGAAGTTTTATTTAGAGGATTTGGTTCAATAGAAATACTAGGAAATATGGAGCAGATTAAGGCTATGCTCAAAACAGGACCTGCTTGGTGCAGTTCAAGACAAAATGGAGATTGTTGGGAAGCTGATACTGCAGGAAATTCAAGAACCAAACCAGACCGAAATGAATAAAAGCTGAAAGTAAAGAAAAACTCGAACCTACAATACAATATTTCCATTGAACTTACTTTTTATTCCACCCGCTGTAGTGAATGAAGTACTTCACCTGCTTGTCTTTAACAGCAACTTTCACACACTGAAGAAAGAAATTAAATATTTAATCTAAGACTAAATAGGAGAGGAAATTACACATTTTGAAAAAAAAACCTTTAACAATGGGAAAATACATTAAGTCAAAAATGAACTTCAATGAAGAATTTCCTTCTTTAGGCCTTGTTCACACCAAGCGTGTTTCAAGAGCAGAGCAGTTACGGACCTGATCAAAACTGCGTCCAATGTATTCCAATGGTATTTTGGGTTCTAGTTCACACCGCAGTGTTCAGTTCCAGAGCATGTAAAAAATCTGCAGCAAGCCCTATTTTACCTGCTCTGGAACGCATGCAAACGCCCTGAAAGCCCATTTTACTAAAAACGGCACGGAACGCATGAAAAACACGGCACAACCCACTGCAGTGCGTGTTCAGAAACTCATGCAGATCTGGTCTGCATTTGGTGTGAACAAGCCCTTAAGGTTCTTCAAGCATCCAGATTTGCTGGCCCAGGACGACAATTCGAGCGCATGCAAGTACCTTTATCCTGCCTTTAAAGTATGCCAAAAATGTACACTGTGCTGCACATGCACAGCTCAGTGTAAATTCTAAAGTTTGCAAGCAGGAAGGCAAGAAGGTTTTACTATAGATGATGAATCTTGTGCAATTAAAAGCCGGTCTGCTTGCAATTTTGTTGAGATAAAAAGGTCTTGGACAGTTCAGCTTCCCCTACCAGAAGAGACTCAGCAGCCTTCCAATCTCTAATGTTAACACGGAGCTGCTCAGAGAGCTTCAAAAAGTATATATGGATGCTGTGCGATATGAAAATTGAATACAATCTGATCAATGATGCATTCAATTTTGGAAAGATTTTTCCAGGCTTTGGATAGAGTATGGGCTGAGGTGTCTGCTCTGCAAAGCTAGTGAATTTTCAGTGCATAAATATTAAATGCTAACCTGCAGATTCATATACAGTTTTTAGTTAGAAATATATTGGGAGAGTAAAATATACTAATCTCAATACTTACAGCCGGCATGGTGCAATGCAGCAGTAACATTCCAGCTCTATATAAAGAGCTGAGTGATCAGCTCATGGTCTCTTCCTGGCAGACAGCGATGCCCATCAGCCACGGCTCCACACAGGGACTCGCTTCTCTGTTCCTCCAGCGCTCAATGGAGGGACAGACAGGGAAAGGGGTGGGCACAGGTGGCTCTGGCTCTAGAGAGGCAGAGCCAGCTATCAATCAGGCTGTCAGGTGCATCCTAACAATATTGTTATGATCCTTCCATGCTGCACTGTGGCTCTGTGTCGTCATCATATTGCAGGCATTAGCCTGCTTTATGCTGACTTTGGGTCACAGAAGTACATTCGTAAAAGTACTCCTGTGCCCCGAAAAGTAAAGCCATAAAAGGCTTGGCTTTACTTCTCTTAACACTCTCTCCAATTAACTATTTGGTTTTACATGCACTATAGCACATGCCAAAGTCTTTTATTGCGATTATAGGTTCCTACAGGTTGTGTGGAATGGATATTTTAAGTCCTGCTGCTCTTTAGGACTAAATCCTCAGCTCCAAGCAAGCCATTTCTTGCCTTTCTCATCACAATCAGATTTTACAAACATAACCAGGAAACTGCCTGAAAACAGGAAGGGCAACAAACGACTTACCTTTGCTTCATATAGGAGTGGCCCATGAAAACACAAAACACGTTCACCTGCAATATAAATGATCAGAATCAGCAACAAGCCCAGAGGTCTACATTTACAGCACATCATGCAGAAATAAGACAAGATTCGCACAAACTGAAAAATACCCTAGAACTGCCAACTACTAAAACTACTTGATAAATATAATACTAACATGCATATTAGCCAGTCACCAGCTAATCTTGGCATTAACCAGGACATGTTTAATACCACAAATTACATTTAGACACTTCAAAATTATGAGGCAAGTCATGTAAGCACAAACCTAGATTTATATTAAAGCAACACCGCAGCGAAAAGAACCAAACCAAAGACCACCCTGCAAAAAAAAAAAAAAAAAATGCTTACCTTTCCAACAGGCAGTGTCCTAAAGGCTTGACGTATTGCAGCTCCCTGATGGCTGCTGGTACCCAAATATTTGAAGGTGCTTAGAATACCTTGTCTCCTGGTGCGTGCCCAAAGGTCACTACTGTGCCCTATTGTCATGGAATCAGTGGTAGGAACAAGGTATTCAACACACCTTAAAGCATCCAACAATGGCTGCCGGAGAGATGCAATACAGCAAACATTTAGGACACCGCCTGCCGGAAAGGTGGTGGAATGAGCAGAATGAACACAGCACAGGGTTAAAAGAATGCAGGTAAAGTCAGTTCACTAAAAATATGAGATCGCTATATGGCTGCTGTTTACCACCCAGAAAATTCTTTCCATGGTCAGAAAATTCCTCAGGAAACATATTGGGAGAGGAAAATGTACTCTTCCCAATACGTAGAGCCAGCATTTGACACTACATCTTAGGGCTGCAACCAACTAATCAATTAATGATTATCTCTCATTATCGATTAGTTGGATCCCCTAGCTCTCTCCTCCATGCTGGGAGGAGGGCACAGCAAGCAGTGGGTGGATGCAATAGCTAGCCTGCTATTGGCTATTGCAATTTAAAATGGCCAATAGCAGGCTGGCTATTGCACCCGCCCACCACCTGCTGTATGAACATTCAGCTGCCGTTTGCAGAATCTTGCCACTGGCAGCTGTCATCCCCTGGCTGAAGCTGTTCAAGCTCTATGTGCTTACAGTACAATTAATAAAAACAAAATGATAAAGGTGAGGGGGAAAAACCCCCCAGTAATTTTCAGTTTCAGCCTGACCAATTCTGTTGCGGGAGGTGTTTTGCACTGCCATTAATTTAAATGGCACCCCAAACGTATCTCCTACCCACAGTCTGATCGCACTGCACTGGAATGCACAGTACCGCAATGTCGTGCATTCCAGTGCAGTGCGAATGCAGAAAATTGTGCATGCATTTTTATCTGATTAATCGAAAAAAATATCGGCCAACTAATCGATTATGAAAATAATCAATAGTTGCAGCCCTAGTGAAGCTGTCACGCACCGGCTCTAAAGATAGAGAGCGGAGTGATCACAAACCACTGATCTTTACCGGTTGCAGCACGGCACTGCGCTGTCAGCAAATAGCAGGCAGTAGCCCACTATAAAGAGAGCTTGGGTCACAGGAGTACATTAGTAAATTTACTCCTGGGACCCAAAAGAGGACTTAAGCCAAAAACAAAAAAAGGTTTGACTATAGTTCTCTTTTAAACAAACATTCCTCTCAACCCAAGCACTGAAAATCTGGGGTATTCACAATAAAAATTCCCACTACATACATGTCTATAACAGACATTTCATTAAAAAAAAAAAAGCATGCTAGCAAAAATTAAAAAAATTCTAGGTGCCCATATCAACCATTCAGGATCTTTGTTTTATTTTCAAACCACAGAAATGATAATAGGGAAGAAATGTTTTGTTAGCAAAGTTTTCATTTGCTAATTTCATTTATACGCGTTTAGGAACAGAAAAAGGACACAGGTCTGGGGTATCAACTAATCTTCTATTATACGCGGCATGCAGGAGGGAATAGCACAAGCTTATTTACGTTTAGCCATATATCACATACATCCCATAAACAAGAAAGACGAAAGTAGGGTTTTAAGAACATGGAAACTTGGGACTGGCAGCTTAAGTCTACTTTGAGTCCACGCCTGGTGCTTTTCCTGGTAACTAGAACTCCAGCAGTTCATGCAGATCAGCTAGTTGGCCATAGGCATTTATCCAGCACTATCCTTTGTTGCTGGTTATCAGATCTCAATAATATGAATCATTTTCTCATGGTATTTATATGAAGCAAATGTACAATACAGCTGCTTTTGGGAGTAAAGTTCATTGAAGGGCTGACTCTCACCAGAACACATTAAAAAACATCCATGCACATTGCTCTGCATTTCTAGGCCACCAATTTTTACTGGATTGGTAAATGCAGCAAAATGCACTACAACATAACTACGGTAGTGAGAACAAGCCCCACAATGCATACTCCTAGACAAAGCATGCAACTAAACACAATTCGCATATACCAGGTACCCAGACAACTGACATCCAAGCCCAGCAGTATACAATCTTCACCCATAAACTGTTGTACTTGCTACACCATGAGGTCATACAAGCATAGGCAAGGACACAGAACAGGATTGCTCCAGTTGTATTATTACAACTAAAAGGATAAACTAAAGGCAATTTTTTTTTAGATTTGTATAGAGTGGTGAGGGGCTCGAATAATTGTTAGGTATTTGAGGTTTTTTTTCTCATTTAGCCATCAGCGTGGATGGGGGAATCCCTCTACTGGCTATTGAGTTCTGACAGTGATGGGTGTGCAGCTGATGCAAAAATCACTGAAAATGTTATGCCAGGCTCCTTCGATTTTCAGATCAAAAGATGTCAGGCGGGAGGCTGCTGACAGGGCAACCCACAGAGCCTATTTTGGCTGGGTCACCAAGGACCAGAGGAAATTTACTAGGTGTATGGACAGCTGAAATCCTACATTTTTAACTGCCACCAGAACAAGAATCAAGAGGAATCTTCCAATGAGGACATATGTTACAATGGCGGCTAAGAGGGGGGTTTCACCCACATGTTCTCAATGTCTGTCAAGTCAACTAGACAGGAAGTGAAGGTTAACCTCCCAAATGAGACAGGGGAAAAAAAAAAAAAAAAAAACCCAAGAACAAGGGGGTTTTACCCTTCCTTACTCTAAATCAGGGATGTCCAAACTCCGGCCCTCCAGCTGTGGTGAAACTACAAATCCCATGAAGCATCTCTCTGGGAGTCATGTCTGTGAGAAGCTTGCAAAGCCTCATGGGATTCGTAGTTCCACCACAGCTGGAGGGGCCCAGCTTGGACATCCCTGCTCTAAATGAAAAAAGTTTTGGTTTTAGATATACTTTAATCAAAGTTCAGTTCTTACAGATTGAAGTACATCAAACTAGCATGCTCTAGGATATGACATACTTCATGGTGTCAAGCAGCCACTAAACCTAAAAAGGCACCAATGAGGACATAAAAAAAATAAAAAAGGTACATTCTAGTACAAGCTGAAAACCAATATCTGCATTATGCAATTATAACGTCAATGTGCGCTCTATGTGCCATTCTGAATTGTCCGTTTTTAGTAAAGTGCGGAAAGGGCCCACCTGGTCACGTTTTGCATATGTGCCACAGTCAGTAGCCTGGGAGCCATTGGAGCACATTTATAAAGCAGTGAATTCAATGCATGTTAATATTCCAGAAGGACAGTAACTTAGGCCCCATTCACACTGAGCGATTTATGGAGCGATTTTTGCAGCGATATCGCTCATATTTCCGAGCTATATCGCTCTATGTAGCTTCACCAATACATTTCAATGTAGCTGTTCACATCTCGTCGCTCAATATCGCTTGTAGCTCGTCGCTGGTAGCTTGTCGCTCCTACATGACCCTTTTTTAGAGCGATTTTGAGCGATATTGCTCCTGATTGCATACAGCCCAATAGGAAGATGTCGCTCAATGTCGCGCGATTTCCATGTTGCTCAGTGTGAATGGGGTCTAAATGTTTGATGAAAGTTACTGTCGCTGCTTATGAATATGCCCAGTGCGTCATGATCACTGGCTTTTAAACTGGACGTACTTGTTCTGGATTCTGCAAGAACCCTTTAACCCCTTCATGACTGAGCTAGTTTTCAGGTTCTGTTCATAAATGACTGACACATTTTTTACATTTTTGCTGTGTGATTCTTCCACCGCAGTAATATACTTTCTTACTAAATGTACCCACAAGGATGCCATATTTTAAGACTAGAGTTTTTTGTATATATGACCCATGGAAGACTAGTATTTGTGTAGATATTCAGATCAATAGTAGAAATATACCATACTATGTTAAACTGACACTAAACTCCGGAGTTAAATCTTAAAACACATTCAAGTACCTTAACTACTAACAAAAATGTATCTTATTTGTGTATCACTCGGCTTTAGATCCTCAAATCATCTCTGAATTGGTGCCGACACTGTCCTTCCTTCTGGAGGGTGACTACTTTTGTTCCCCATGGTCCCTGTATGTGTTGTAAAGTAGTCACAGCTCCAAGCTCGCTCCCATGATGGACTACAATCTCAATATAAAATTAGCAAACTCAACATGAGATTGTAGTCCATCACGGGAGCGAGCTTGGAGCGGTGACTACTTTACAACACACACAGGGACCATGGGGAACAAAAGTAGTCACCCTCCAGAAGGAAGGACAATGTCAGCACCAATTCAGAGATGATTTGAGGATCTACAGCCGAGTGAACAAATAAGATACATTATTGTTAGTAGTTAAAGTACCCGAATGTATTTTTAATATTTAACTTCCGAGTTTAGTGTCACTTTAATTGGGATATTCTATGAAATATAGGAGATAAGATTTTCATTATTATAAAATGTTTGTAGAAAACCAATTTCAAGCAGCTTTCAAATCCAGAGCTGTTAAACTCAGAAGCCCATGCATTAGACCCTGGACTCCTAGTTTATGCTTTGACACACCATGCAACCACAATTCACTATACAGTTCTCTGTCTACAGCCTTGCCAACATTAGCTGCTACCTGGTCTGTTAAACCAGGCAATGCAACAAGGTAAAAATCAACAGGATTTT